ACACACACACACACACACACACACACACACACAATCTCTCTGCAGTTTTCCCTCTTATGGCGGAAAGCTCCTTTTTACATACAGACTGCACATGCATGCACGTTTATTTGAACATGAACATCTGCCATTGTGAGATAAGGAAAACTAAAGAGTGTAAACCATGTAATCCTCATGACTTCAGAAGAAACACCTGCGTCAATACGACACATTTTCAGCTTATACATCGTTTTTTTAACGGTTTAGGAGAATGTCATCAAGACACACTTCATCCCTCCGTTTATACGAACAGAGTTGAAATCTCCACCTTTGGAGATTCATGTTTTTCTTAGGGCCGCGACATCACTGAGGATCAATAAAAAGATAGATATCATTCCGCTGTATTACCCCGCAGCAGTACTTTGAAAAAGCCGTAACTCCAAAACATAGCTTCGCCCTTTACAGCCGGTGTGTGTCGAGGTGTGAGGAGCCAACACACACCGTTTAGAGTCTGAGGAAGTGTGATGGTTTCTCATGAGTCCTGCGAGGTTTCCCGTCTCTAATAGTGGGACCTTTCCATTTCCTGGTGCAGACAGCCTCGATCACTCTGCCTGATGTATGATTGCCCCGGGCCGCATGTTGTGTTGGGGAACCGTGGATTCATTTGTTTACTCAGCTGGTGTACTTCATAAAGGGCCCGCTGAGTTGAACTTGGCACTTTGCAGTAATTGACTAGAGTGGATCCCTCGGTCCTTATCGGGCCGCCTTGATGGGCCTCATTCTAGTTAAGTGTTGCCCAGGCCCATTATAAACAGCAAACTACACAAAATGTGCACAACACTCTCCCTCCATCATTCCCCACACCCACCATCCATAAAAGGCTTCCAAGAAGAAGCCTAAGGACCTTAAGAGGCGATAAAAACTGATTGATCATACTGTATTTATACCTGCATATATAACCGCAGCTTTGACAGAAAAACTAGCAGAGATCTGAATCCCTTTTGACAATGGTCGTTACCACATTTGGGAGTTTTAAAATGAACCCTAACCCCATTCCCCACACCCACCATCCATAAAAGGCTTTCAAGAAGAAGACTAAGGACCTAAAAAGGCGATAAAATCAGATCGAGCATACTGTATTATATATATAACCGCAGCTTTGACAGAAAAACTGTGAATCCCTTTTGACAATGGTCATTACCACGTTTGGGAGTTTCAGAATTAAAGCTAGCTGCAATTCCCTTTTGGGAGCGTGAGTCAAAGCAATGCTGCCTGCACACAAAGTATTTTACCACAGCACTGCTCAGATTAAGCAATTATAGGAGCACAAAAGCAGTGAGATAGCTGGTGCATAATAAGAACAGGAGGGTTTGAATGGAGAGGGCTTAATTTCTCCTGTTCCTCAGTCGTCGGAGCTTTGTGAAGGCGCTGCTATCCTCTGGCTCATTCAGAGACACTCCAACTCTGATTGTAATTACATGGACGTGAATGAGACTCTCTGCTGGTTTGGTGCAACTCATTTAATGCCAGAACAGTGAAGAGTGCGCTGCCTGGCGCTGAAATCTAACCACTAGATGAAGAGGAGGGTTCTGGGAAAACTAAAATCCTCCCTGTTTTTCATGTCCTCTGATTACTGATGTGTGAAAGAAGTTACACCTCCACTCACTGTGAGGTTGACCTTTGCTCAATTACACAAAGTAGGCATATGCACAGTAAACTCAACTTCATTTCATGATTTAACATTTAATGTGTGTGAGCTTTTGTTCAAGAGACCTTGTGCCTTTTTATGGTTTAAAAGAGCCAATATGTTCTACTTTCATATATAAATGAATGCAGTAATAACGTGTGAAGTGTATTATCACATATGTGCAACTTAAATCAAAGTACTACTGACAAATAAACTTAATTTAAAATCCCCATGTGTAAAGCTTTGGCTGTCTCTAAAAATAGGGTTTAACTTGTCATGGAGATTATTTTCTACACTACAATTATAAAATGTCCTTGAGTATATATTCGTATGTTTGCAAAGAGGGGGTATGCATTACTCTTGTTCTTCTAATCATATTGTTTACAAGGTAGAAACTTGTGTTTTATAAATATTTCCTTTCTTGTGTTTTCTGGAGGTCCTAAAATTCCCTGAGCTGCCCTTTAAGAAGTGCATTCCCCTTTAAACTGTATGTATCTGCTTTAATGTGAGTCATTTCCATAGTAAGGTGTGTCCACTTGTTAAATAACATCACTAACTAATTTGTCTGTTTAGATTATGACTTTTGAGAGGTTATATTTGATCAAAACACTTGTGTCAAGGTGCATTTGAGTACAAATCAGCTCCAAACGAGGGCAGATGGATGCCACCTGCTGCAGAGCTCCTCCCTGATTGGCTACAGGCAGCAGGTGACAGGTATAAACGATTTCAGGAGAGAGCACCCTGGTTGGTCTGTCCTCTCCAGGAAAATGGATGAATGAGTGCTTTGTTTTCTGAGATATTTCCCTTCCAATTGTCTGCAGAGGCTCCTCGAGAAATGAAATATTTGTTGATGCCATGAATGTTTTTGAACCAGTACAAATCTACAATCTGCATGCTGCTGGTCCAGTCTTTCCCTCTGCCTGACATCTTTAAGTTTCAACAAACATTTTTGAATCAGGTCACATGCATGTTTCTGCCGAGCACATGTTTTGGCTAACCATTGCAATTTTGGAAAGTGGCAGAAAGTTGTATCAGCATTGTCAACAAGAAAAAGCATCAACATTATGAAACAGCAGACAATGGAAAGCATCTTAAGCCACAACATACTGCAAAGAGAATTCTCTACTAAACCATACAGATAGGTATCCAAAATACAAGTTTAAAGAATAGTCAGTGGAAAGTAAGATAAAACAAAACTGCAGCTTTGACAGGTGCACCAAGCCACAACTTGATTTCCAATGAAAATGTAAAAACTTGGGTTTTCCCTGAAGCACCACCAATACTATTTAACTGACCTTGAGGAAATGTGTTTGAATGTGAAAAATACTTACTTTATCAAGGATGTCACAAAAAATGTAAGA